AAAAGAAGAAGAACTGGAAAATAATGAAGAGAAAGAAAAAATGAAAATGATGAGAAGAAAGAAATAATACAAAAGGAAAGAAGAAAAGTGAAGAAAAAGAAGGAAGAGAAAGAGAAAGAAGTAAAAATGAAGAAAAAAAAAAAAGAAGAAAGAAAATAATAAAAAGGAGAAAAAAAAAAAAGAAAAGAAAAAAAAAAAAGAAGAAAAGAAGAAAGAAGAAAAAAAGAAAGAGAAGAGAAAAGAAAAATAATTAGAAAGAGGAAGACGACAAGATGCAGAAATTCAAAGTTAAAGAAAAATTAAGGAAAAGGAAAAATACGAAAAGAAGAAGAAAAAAATAAGAAAGTCTCAGAAGAAAAAATCCCTAAAGACAGAAGAAGAAGAAGAAGAAGAAGAAGAAGAAGAAGAAAAAGGAGGAGAGGAGAAAATTATGAAAAGTAGAGAATAACAAAACTGAAAATGATGAGAAGGAGAAGGAGAAGAAGATAAAAGAAAAGTAAAGAATATAAAGAAGGAAGAGAAATAGAGAAAGAAGCAAATAATGAAGAAGAAGACGAAAAAGAAGAAGAATATGAAAAGAAGAAGAGAAAATAATACAAAGGAGTAAACAATGCGAAGAAGAAGTAGATGAAGAAGTCGAAGAAATGGAAAAGAACGGTGAAGAAGAAGAAGAAGAAGAAGAAGAAGAAGAAGAAGAAGAAGAAATGAAGAAAAGTAAACAATAAAAAGAAGGGAGAGGATTAGAGGAAGTAGATGAAGAAGAATAAGAAAGGGAAAAGTAAAGAATAGAAAAGAATTAAAATGAGGAATAAGAAACTCTGTAGTAATTAAAATAAAAAGAAAAGTAAGGAAAAAGAAGTGGGATAGGAAAGAAGAAGAAGAAGAAGAAGAAGAAGAAGAAACGAAAAAAAGAAAGTTAAAATATAAAAGAGAAAGATGATGAGAAGAAAGAAAGAAAGAAAAATAAACGGAGAAAAGAAAGTAAAGAATAAAAAACAAAAAGATGATGAGAAGAAGAAGAAAATGAAGAAGAGGAAAAGAAGAAGAAACGGAAAAAAGAAGAAAGAAAAAAGAGAAAGATGGTGAGAAGAAGAAGAAAGAAAGAAAGAAAGGAAGAAAGAGAAACGGAAAAAACAAAGTAAAGAATAAGTAACAGAAAGTTGATAAGAAGAAAAAGAAAATGAAAAATGGAGAATAAGAATTGTTAAGAATAAAAAGGAGAAAGGGTAGAAGAAAAAGAAGAAGAAGACGAGGAAGAAGAAGAAAGTTATGAATAGAAAAGAAGAAGAAGAAGAAGAAAAGAAAAAAGAAGAAAAGTTAAGAATAAAAAGGAGAAATGGTAGAAGAAGAAGAAGAAGAAGAAGAAGAAGAAGAAGAAGAAGAAATGGAAAAAAAGAATAGTTAAGAATAAAAAAGGAGAAAGAGAAGAAGAAGAAGAAGAAGAAGAAGAAGAAGAAGAAGAAGAAGAAGAAAGGGAAATATAAAAAGTAGTGAATAAAAACGAGAAAAGAAGAAGAAGAAGAAAAAGAAGAAGAAGATGAAGAAGAAGGGCAAAAGTTTAGGGAGGATGTGAAGGAACAAAGACAAATAAAAAAAGAGGTGTAGAAAGAAAAATTGAAAAATATAACAATATTAATAAGAGTTACATGAAAAATGATTTGAAAAGTCGTTGTATGACGTAAAGAAGAAAAAGTATAAATAGAAAGAGAGGGGTTGTGTAGGACTAGAAGAATGAAGAACGATAAGAAAGAAAGAAGAAAGGAAAATAAGTCATGAAAAGGAGAAAAGAAAGAAGAATATAATTAAGAAGTGGAATTATAATGAAGAGGATTACCACAATAAGAAAAGCTAAAAAAGTAGGAGAAAGCGTAAGAAAAATTGATGAGAATGACAAGATAAAAAAGAAAGATAAAGAATAAAAAGGTAAAAGGAAGGAAAGTAGGGAATAAAAAGAAAGAGAAATTGAGAAAGGAGAAAGAGTAAGGAAGTGAGAGGACAATGTCGAGATAAAAGTGAGAAGAAAAGAAAAATATAGAGAAAATGAAAAGAAAGAAATAAAAAGAAGAAAGAAAGAAGAAGATAGTGGGATAAGAAAAATAAAAATGAATAAAAATGAAGAGAAAGAGGAAACGTAAAGAATAAAAAGGAGAAAGAGGATGAGAAGAAGAAGTAGAAAAAGAAAGGGAAAAAAGAAGAGTAAATAATACAAGGGAGAAAGAGGAGGCGAAGAAGAAGTAGAAAAAGAAAGGGAAAAAAGAAGAATAAAAATAAAACAAAGGGAAAAGAAAAAAGAAGAAGAAGAAGAAGAAGAAGAAGAAGAAGAAGAAGAAAAGGATAAGAAAAAAGAAAATAATCAAAAAGAGGAAAAGGTAGAGGAGTAGAAGAAAACGAAAAATAATGGGAAAAAAAAGTAAAGAATTAAAAGGAGGAGGAGGAGGAGGAGGAGGAGAAAAAGAAGTAGAAAAAGAAAGGGAAAAAAGAAGAGTAAATAATACAAGGGAGAAAGAGGAGGCGAAGAAGAAGTAGAAAAAGAAAGGGAAAAAAGAAGAATAAATAATACAAGGGAGAAAGAGGAGGCGAAGTAGAAGAAGAAGAAGAAGAAGAAGAAGAAGAAAAGGATAAGAAAAAATAAAATAATCAAAAAGAGGAAAAGGTAGAGTAGTAGAAGAATACGAAAAAGAATGGGAAAAAGAAAAGTAAAGAATAAAAAGGAGGAGGAGGAGGAGGAGAAAAAGAAGTAGAAAAAGAAAGGGAAAAAAGAAGAGTAAATAATACAAGGGAGAAAGACGAGGCGAAGAAGAAGAAGAAGAAGAAGAAGAAGAAGAAGAAGAAAAGGATAAGAAAAGGATAAGAAAAAAGAAAATAATCAAAAAGAGGAAAAGGTAGAGGAGTAGAAGAAAACGAAAAAGAATGGGAAAAAGAAAAGTAAAGAATAAGGAGGAGGAGGGGGAGAAGAAGTATGGAAAAAGAAAAGCATAGAAAAGAATAAAAAGGATGAAGAGAACAAGATGTAGAAATTCAATGAATGAGAAAAAGTAAAAAGGAAGGATAAGTGAGATAGGAAAGAAGAAGAAGAAGAAGAAGAAGAAGAAGAATTATATGAAGAAGAAAACAGGAAAAGTATGAGATGATGATGAAGAAGAAGAAGAATTATATGAAGAAGAAAAAAGGAAAAGTATGAGATGATGATGAAGAAGAAGAAGCAGAAGAAAAAAGAAGAAAAAAGAAAAAAAAGGAGAAGATCATTGAAAGAAGAAGAAGGAGAAGACAAAAGGAGAAATGAAAGACAAAAAAAAAGAAAAAAAAGTCATTAAAAAGAAAAAAAGATGAAAGCTGAAGAGAATTCAAAGAAAGTAAGAAAAAAAAAAGAAGAAAAAAAAGAATTAAAAATCAAAAAAAAATATGAAAAGAAGAAAAAATAAAAATAAAAAAAAGAAAAAAAAAAGAAATAAGAAGAAAAAAACAGGAAAAAAAAATAAAAGGGAGGAAGAAGAAGAAGGAAGAAAGAAGAAAAAAGAAAAAGAATAAAAGGGGGAAAAGGATGACGAAAGAAGAAAAAGAAGAAGGAAAAAGAAGTATGGGGAGGAGGAAGAAGAAGAAGAAGAAGAAGAAGCAGAAGGAAGGGGAGGAAGAAGAAGAAAAAGAAAGAAGAAGAAGGAGGAGGAGGAGAAGAAAGAAGAAGAAGAAGAAAGAAGAAGAAGAAGAAGAAGGAGGAAGAGGAGAAAAAGAATAGAAGTGGAAGAAAGAAGAATACTTAGGAGGAAGAAAGAAAAGAAGAAGAAGAAAAGAATTAAAAGAAGAAGAAAAGAAGAAGAAGAAGAAGAAAAGGAAAAGACGAAAAAGAAAAACAAAAAGGAAAAAAAAAAAAAAAGAATAAAAAAGGAAAAGAAGAAGAAAAAGAAAAAAAAAAGAAAGAAGAAAAAGGGGAAAAAGGGAAATGAAAAAAAAAAGTAGGAGAAAAAGGAGGTAAAAAAAGGAAAAAAAAAAGAAAAGAAGGAAGAAGATGGAAAAGAAACAATTAGATGAAAAAAAAAAAAAAAAAAAAAATTCAAAAAAAAAAGGACGAAGAAGAAGAAAAGGAAAAGGAGAAAATTAAAGGATAAAAATGAGGAAGAGTATGAAGAATGAAGAATAGTTAGATGCAGAAGAAGAACGGGAAAGGAAAAAGGAAAGAATAAAAAGGGGGAAGAAGAAATAGAAAGGAAGAAGCGTAAAGACTAAAATGGAGGAAAGGGGAGGAGGAGAAGAAGAAAAAGACGACGAAGAAGAAGAAGATAAAAAAGGAAAAAAGAAGAAAAAAGAAAGTTGAGAAAAAAGAAGAATAAAAATTAAGTGGAAGGAGAAGAGGAATGAAAATGAATAATAATAATATTAAGAAGAAGAACACAAAAAAAAAAGAAAAGAAAAAAATATCAAGAATAAAAAGAAAGAATAGAAATTAAAATAAAATAGAAGAGGAATAAGTTTTGGAGGAGGGAGAAAGAAGAAAAAGAAGAAGAAGAAGAAGAAGGAGGATGACGAAAAAGAGAAGAAAAAGAATTAAATAAAAGTAGAAGAAGGATTAAATTCAAAAGAAAAGAAAAAGGAAAGATAGAAGAAGAAGAATTGAAAATAATAGAAGAAGGAGGAGGATTAAGAAGAAGAAGAAGAAGAAGAAGAAAAACTGAAGAGATAAGAAGAATGTCAAGAATAAAAAGAAAGAATATAAATTAGAATAAATTAGAAGAATTAAAGGAGAAAGGAGGGGGGAGGTTTTAGAAGAAGAAGAAAGAAGAAGAAGAAGAAGAAGGAAATATGACGAAAAGGAGAAGAAGAAGAAAAAGGAGGAGTATGGGGAGGAGGAAAAAGAACGAAAGAAGAAGAAGAAGGAGGAAAAGGAGAAGAAGAAGAAGAAATAGAAGAAGAAGAAGGAGTAGAAGGAGGAGTATGGGAAAAGAAAAAAGAAAGAAGAAGAAGAAGAAGAAGAAGAAAAATCATGAATAAAAACATAAGAATATAAATTAGAAAGAAAAGAAAAAGAAAAAAGAAAAAGAAAGTGGAAGAAGAAGAAGAAGAAGAAGAAGAAAAGAAGAAGAAAAGAAAGGAGGAGGAGGAAAAAAAAAAAAAAAAGGATTATGAAAAAAGAAACAGAGGAGGAAGAAGAAAAGAAAATTAGAAGAAAGAGAAAAGACAAAAATCAAAGAATAAAATGGAGAAAGAGAATGAGAAATATACGTAGAAAGAAGAAAAAAAAAAAAAAAAAAAGAAAAAAAAAAAAAAAAAATATTAAAAAAATAATTAAATGATGGAACAAAAGAATTGAAGAAGAAATGAAAAAAAAAAAAAAGAAAAAAAAAAAAATTAAAAGGTGAAAAAAGAACAAATGACGAGGAAGAAGAAGAAGAAGAAGAAGGAAGGGGAATAAGCGAAAAGAGGAATAGGAACGAATTGAAATTTAAATTGAAAATAAAAAAGAAAAAAAAATTCAAAGTCTTGAATTAAAAGGTGGCAGAAGAAGAACGAAAAGAAAAGAAAAAGATAAACAAAAATGTAATAATTCTAGTGTGAGTGATTAATTAAAGGAAAGGAAAAATAATAGGAATAATAATAATAAAATTAATAATATTAATAATAATAATAATAATAATTATAATAATAAAGAAAATAACAAAAACGGTCCTCCCCTCCTCCTATTGATATGGCAGTCCCTGCTTTTGCAATGTATTTTCATGATATTCAAAAATCTGTCAATCTAATAGGAAGGACCTTGAAATATGAAATAGAGGGTTTCCTAAGCCATCAGACATCAACAATCCCTGTTGTAGTTGAATTCTAGGACTGGTTGGAAAAAAATTGAAAGACTTCTAATTAAAGAAATCCTGGAAGTCCATGCCTCAAAAAAAAAAAAAAAATATTCTGACAAGGTACAGCCCCCACAATTTACGAAGGGCTTTATCTATGAATAATTTTTTTTTGCAGTGGAAAAAGAAAAAAAGAACCATTTTAAAAGGTCTCTTTAAGAAGGAACCCGAAAAAAAATAAAACGCAAAAAAAAAACAAAAAAATAATAATAAAAATAATAATAATAATAAAGAAATAAGAAGAAAGAAAGAAAAAGAAGAAGAAGAAGAAGAAGAAAGATGAAACAAGAAAAAATGAAAGAAAATAAAAAAAAAATGATAAGATGATGAGAAGGTGGAGAATAAAAAAAAAAGTGAAAAGTAAAAAATAAATCAAATTAAAAAGAAAAAATTAAGAAAAATATAAGAAGGAATGGAAAAGAAAAAAAAAAAGAAAAAAAAAAATAAATTAAGAATGATGAAAGAAGAATAAGAAATAGAAAAAAAATAAAAAAAAAAAAAAAAAAAAGGATGAGGAGAAAAAAAAATAAAGAATAAGAAGAAGAAGAAGTAGAAAAGAAAAAAAGGGAAAAAATGAAGAAAAACAATAATTAGAAGAGGAACAGAAAAAGTTTAAATTAAACAAGATTTGAAATTGAAGAAGAAAAAGAATAAGAAGAAGAAGAAGAAATTTTTTGAAAAAAGCAAAAAGTAAAAAATAAATAAAAAGATGATGATTCGAAAAAGAAAAAAAAAATAAATTTTAAAATAAAATGAAATGATTGTGATTTGAGCGATTTGATCTTTAAGGAATTTGATGTCCCTTTCAGGATTTATATTTTTGATGTTTTAATTTTATGGGATTGTAAAGTATGGCGATTTGTCCCTCAGTAAGATTTTGAAGTTTGGCAATTTTTGTTATTTAGGTCTTAGCTTTCAGTATTTAGAATCGTTTAGTATTATCACTGGCAAGATTTAGTTTTTAAAATATTATTAAATTCATCTCGCATAATATTTCTGGATTAAAACGAAAGAAAATTTCTATCACTATGTCTCCGCTGATAATCATTGATAAAATATATATGTTATTAATAATTCCAAAAAACAATTTCAAATTTGACTAACAAAGACGGTTCGAGAAAAAAAATTTTTTTCCGTAAATGATGGGCAATAGCAAAAAAAAGGAAAATAAAAGATTGCTGGATGGTATCCACACAGACAAAAAACGGACTAGTAGCAAAGATTGTGGATCTACAGAAAAAAGCATTAAATAACAAAAACCGAAATTTTCTAGGAAAGTCCAATTAACAAAAATGCGAAAAAAAAGACACTGCTTTAGCGATCATGTGTATTACTACATTACTGACGAAACTTGACATTTTTTTCCGCAGTAGGTTGAATATGGAATTCAAGTTCCCAAGGGAAAAATTGATCAAAAACTCTACTTGTCTTTCTGCATTTTATTACAAAGATCTTCAAAAAGTCAATTAAGTGCCATAACACATAAAATTGCTTAGGCGATCATTGTATCTTTCGATACGTGACTGACGAGGCAATTTTTTTACCAAAGTAGGTTGCCATTTCTGTCTTTGTTAGACCGGTTTGGCATCAAGGCAATAGAAAACCGTCTGTCTTGCTATTTACCCATTTTGGGGGGAAAAGGTAGAATACCTTTCCTAAAGGGTATTAGTATGTAATTAAATGCGATGGATCTAACTGCTTATTCAAACTCGGTTCTGCTATTCCTCAATCTATAATATCCATTACGCCATTCAGTTCTGTGCCATGCCTGATACGCGTTTTGTTGATCATGTATCTTTCGATACATGATGGACAATGACAAATATTTTCCGAAAAAAAGCAATTCAAAACTTTGTTGAATTAAAATAAAAATAATTATTCACGCCTATAGAACCCGGTCTATTCTGCTTTTAAAAATAGCTGCGAGAACAACAAGCGGATTCATGCCTTTCCCTTTATTTCGTAAAAAATTTTCATGAATTCGACTGGAACTCGAAATTCGGATTCCGATTTCTCAAATCTAATTTAAATTAAAAATGCCTCCCTAATATCTTGAAGAAAAATTTGAAATTTTTATGGCACATCATAAATCTCATCTATGTATATATTTTTCAAGTTTGATAATAATTTAAATTTTCTTGTTTTCAACAAGGACAGAAAAATTTTTGGTTTGAAGTTTGAGTAAATGGATGGCAGAACAGGCTGTAGAAGATTTTTCCGAACAAAATCACAGTATTTTTAATAGATATAAAGAAAAAATATTTGTATTAAATAATTATTGATCGCCTAATATATTTTGGGACACGGCATATAAAGATGTGAAAATAAATATATTTTGTTATTTTCTACATATCCATTCAATAAAAAATCAAAAGCTGGTTTCCACAATTATAGCAAGATGGGCAATCCATTTAATATCCAAATCGTTTTGGCAAGATACAGTTTTTTTTTATATTTAAAATATAGAATTTATTTGTTCCGTTTTAAAAAAAAAATTGACTTCGACAGTATAAATTAATTTTCTTTTATAAAAGAAAAGATTGAAATCTGTATTTTAACTTTATAAACTATGTGATTTCGGGACGTGATTTAATTTTTCTCTAACCCTTTGTCCCTGAAACAAAATAAAAGTTCCTTTTCTGCCATCTCCCCAGACCACGTTCTTTCATCCGCTTGACAGATGTATTTATCCAACTTTTCAAGGTCACGAGTTGTATTCCCTTGTCTTTCTTTGGCATGGTTTTCAATTTTCATTATCAGATTCTCTAGGCCCTCTTTTTTATTACGTGTCCCCAATTTCAATATTGCCAATTTTTCAATTTTATTCATTCATTTTCCTTGCAAAGACATCTCCAATGTCTCATCACCGTTGCTCACACATTCGGTCCAAATTTATTTCTTTTCATCCTTTTTTTAGAACCCAATTTCTCCGTCGCCTTTTTTCTTTTCTTTATTCTTGAAATCGTCCAGTATTCGCTGCCGTAAAGAAGGACAGATGTTACGTAACAGCCAGGAAGATCAAATGTAAAAAAAAACACCCATAGCATATTTTTTCTTCAAACAATATAGGCCGTCCTGGGTATGACGATAAAATTTTCCGCGTCCTGGGTATTCATATAAACTTTCCGCGTCCTGTATTGACGATAAACATATATCCGTGTCCTGGGTATGACGATGAAAAGACATCCGTTATCAACCTGGATATGACGATAAAATAAAATCCGTGTCCTGGGTACGACGATAAACTACATCCGCGTCCTGGGTATGACGATAAACTACATCTGCGTCCTGGGTTAAAGACGATAAACTACATCCATTTCCTGGGTAATGACGATGAACTACATCCGTGTCCTTTAATGACGATAAACTAAATCCGCGTCCTGGGTAATGACGATAAATTAAATATGTCCTGGGTGAGATGATAAACTACATCCGCGTCCTGGGTATGACGATAAACTGCATCTGTGTCCTGGGTAAGACGATAAACTACATCCGCGTCCTGGGTATGATGATAAACTACATCCGCGTCCTGGGTATGACGATAAACTACATCCGTGTCCGGGGAAAGACAATAAACTACGTCCAACGGCAAGGCCTCTGATCAGGAGGTTTTGAGGAGAGTGGAACCACCTTTTAATTGCTGGTGTTCCTAGGTCCACCCTGACCCTGGGTGGTAGCACCTGTTAGGGTCCCAGCTATGGGCAAATAGTTGACATCCAAACTTGTGTTAAAATAGGTTTTAATACCAAAAATACTTTGTAATAAAAAAATATAATATATTACCAGCATTAATTTTTGAAGGAAAAAATTATTATCAGCAATACTTTAAAAAGTACTAGCAATACAAACAGCTATACATTCTTTGAAAAAAATGACCAGCTATGACCAGCTATAGAAAAATTTTGAGGCTTCAAAAACAAAATAAAAAACCAAAGAATAATATTCTATTCATACGAATCTATCCTAAAAATGTTGTCGGCATTATCTTTGTTGCTAATTTTGGTACGTGGGTTGGTTAAATAGTAAATACTGGAATTCTTTAATTACAAGACACAAAAGATAAACGATTCGAAATTCAATCGACAATACTCTTTCCTTCTTTCTCAATCGTATATCTGATGTTCGGTCAAACTGTGATGCCTGTTATTGTTAATTACAAAGGACTTAAGAATAGAAACACACAGTAATAATGAAAACAAAAGTTCCAGTATTGGAACACGATTCAACCATATCGCATCCTTTTTCACACATGGTATGAGTGACGGTAAAGAGTAATAATTCCTGTTCTTTAATTAAAATAGAACTCAAATTAAAAAAAAGCATTCCCAAATGAACATAAGATAAGTCATAGGTTAATAAATTAAATCTTCAATATATTTGCTTTACGTCTCGTTGGTGTAAGGAGTGGGACAGAAAATGAGACCCGTTCTTCTTTAAAGCATAAATATTGTTGCGGATAATAAATAGGCCCGCAAACAGATATTTGAATGACGGAAGACAACAATAGACTGAGCAATGACTTAAATAATAATAATTAAAAAAGATATTATTATTATTTTCATTAAAGAAAACACTGCGACAAAAATAAGGTTACTGTGGCAATTGTTACTAGGCGAAAAAATATCTCAACATGTTCATTTAGAGAAGAGCGCTGAAGATTATTTTCCCCAAAAGAAAAAAAAAAAAACGATTTTGTAACCATTGAGAAATGTTGTCCTAAGAAAGGGGAGTTTATTAGCTGTAGAAAAATGTCGACGAGTTAAGGACAGTTTTCGTTTATTGACAAGTGTTTTCGTGAAAAGGACAGTTTATTGTTGTTGACAAGTGCTGTCGTGAAAAAAAAAACAGTTTTCAGTTGTTGAAAAGTGTTGTCATGAAAAGGACAGTTTTGCATTTGTTGACAAGTGTTGTCGGGTAAAGGACAGTGTTGAGTTGTTGAAAAGTTTTTTTTTCGGGAAAATGGTAGTTTTGAATTAATGAAATGTGTTTTAGCGAAAATGACAGTTTTGAGATGTTGAAAAGCTTTGTGGTGAAAAGGATAGTTTTAATTTTTTGAAAAGTATTGTCGGGAAAAGGACAGTTTTGAGTTGATTGCTAAGTGTTGATGTGAAAAGGACTGTTTTGCATTTGTTGAAAAGTGTTCTCGGGAAAAGGACAGTTTTCAGTTGTTGAAAAGCGTTGTGGTGAAATGTACAGTTTTCATTTGTTGAAAAGTGTTGGGAAAAGGACAGTTTAGAGTTGTTGATAAGTTTTTTGGGGAAAAGGACAGTTTTGAGTTGTTGAAAAGTGTTTTCTGAAAACGACATTTTTGAGTTTTTAAAAATCTTGTCGTGAAAATGACAGTTTTCAGTTCTTGAAAAGTGTTTGTCGTGAAAAGCACAGTTTTGAGTTGTTCAAAAATGTTTTCTGAAAAGGACATTTTTGAGTTTTTGAAAAGCATTGTCCTGAAAAGGACAGTTTTGATATGATGACAAGTTTTGTTGTGAAAAGTTTAGTTTTAATTTGTTGTCAAGTGTTATGGGGGAAATGACAGATTTGAGTTGTTGAAAAGTGCTGTGGTGAAAAAGTCAGTTTTGAGCTTTTGACAAGTGTTGTTGAGAAAAGGACAGTTTTGTGTTATTGAAAAGTGTTGTCGTGAAAAGGACAGTGTTGTCTTGTGGACAAGTTTTTTGGGGAAAAGGACAGTTTGGATTTGTTGAAAAGTGTTGTCGTGAAAATGAAAGTTTTCTGTTGTTGAAAAGTGTTGTCGGGTAAAGGACAGTTTTGTGTTGTTGACACGTGCTTTCGTTAAAAGAACAGTTTTGAGTTCTTGAAAAGTTTTGTCGTGAAAATGACAGTTTTGGGTTGTTGAAAAGTGTTGTCATTAAAAGGACAGTTTTGAATTGTTGAAAACTGTTGTCGTGAAAATGAAAGTTTTGTGTTGTTGAAAAGTGTTGTCGGGAAAAGGACAGTTTTGAGTTGATGCCAAGTGTTAATGTGAAAAGGACAGTTTTGCATTTGTTGAAAAGTGTTTTCGGGAAAAGGACAGTTTTGAGTTGTTGAAAAGTGCTGTCGTGAAAATGAAAGTTTTGTGTTGTTGAAAAGTGTTGCCGGGTAAAGGACACTTTTGAGTTGTTGACAAGTGTTTTCGTTAACAAGGACAGTTTTGAGTTGTTGAAAAGTTTTGTCGTGAAATGCAAAATTCTGAGTTGTTAAAAAGTGATGTCCTGAAAACTACCGTTTTGTAGTTGTTAAAAATATACACATTATTATAACTTTTTTTATATATAATAAATTGCAATAAATTGCGATGTAAAAATTCGACAGACTTTTTCATGCTAGACGCAATCGTCAGGTGGCCTGACGATTCCGTTTAGGATGAAACAGCCTGTCACGTCTGAGTGTTGACTTTAATGTTCACTTTCATATTTATATTTACATACGCTCTCTCTCTTATATTGAGCACTTTATCCCATAAATATAGCCCACTTTATATTCTGTATATATATATATATATATATATATATATATATATATATATAATTTAAGGACAGAATTATTTTGGAACAGTTTTTTGAGTTGAATTATTTCATCAGTATTTTTAACTAACATAAGAATATCATCAACGTATCTTAAGTAGATTGATGTTTTTTAAAATCTGTAAATAACTTATTTTCGAGGTTCGACATGTAGAAATTGCTAAATGTCGGGCCCAGTACTGAACCCATGGAGACACCATCACGTTGTATATATATATTGTTATTATGATCGAAGAAAGGGACTTCAGTAGTACAAGCTAATAGTAGTTTTCTTAATATATTAGGATTAATTTTAAGTGGGGGTAAAGATGAGTTACTGTATATATTTCTTATAATTATGTCAATAGTTTCACTAACAGATTGGTAAGTAAGTTTTCAACATCAAGTGAAGCTATGATTTCATTGTCGGGTTTTTCACTTTTTAGGATTTGGATTACTTCTAATGTTGACTTAACACTATATTTACTTGGAAGGTAGTTGGTTGATGTATTTAGTTAGATGATACACAGGAGTTGGAATTTGCGATATGATAGGACGGAGGGGATAGTTAGGTTTATGTGTTTTTATAGTGCCATATATGTAGCCAGGTCTATAATCACCAACAGTTTTAGGGAGTTTTAAAGAGTTCTGTTCAGCATTATTAGCATTAATAAGTTTATTAAGCTTTGATTTTAGTTGGTTGGTCGGGTTCTTGTTAAGTTTTTTAAACTTTATGTGATCATGGAGTATGTGGTCTAGTTTTTTGTTGTAATCTAATTTGTTTAGAATGGCAAAATATATATAATTCAAAACCTGCGGAGGGTCGTTTGGGAACCTTGTGGCATTCGGTGCACCAGGTCTCTGTATTCTTCCCTTCAAAAAGTGTGGCTGGTCCTGCACGAAGGCTTCACCACTATAATCAAATCTCATGTGCCGGTGTCGGGCCTTCGGTTTCCTGGAAACTGATTTGCTTGACCCTCATACGTCTCGACGTTAGAGTCGATTATATATGTATGTATTATGTCAGGTAATTCTGATGGGTTGCAACTGGTATCATGTTCGGGCTATTGGCGATTAAACAGGATCCCCCACCAAGTCTCCCTGGTGTTGAGAGTTGCTAGAAACCCTGCAGAGCACCGGCCATAAAGCAATCTTTTTGCGCCGTGCTGTAGCAATGCTCAGGTTTGTTTCTGAGGTCGCCATAACAACACCGGGAGAGTTGTCCCCTTCAGTCTTTGTCAAGGCAGGCATCTAGGAGAAGAAAAATCTGACATAACACCTGCGCTCTCTATTTCCTCCAATGATGTTGACTTGTTCTTCTTTTTGAGGGTCAAGGTACCAGTCACTCCGCGAGTGGAACTAGTTTTGTACAAAGCTTTTCTTCACTTAAAAAAACTTCACGCACCGGCATTGCTTGAATACTTCAGGATCTTATTGTGTCTTGACAGAGAGGATGGCGGTAGCCAGGGAAGGCAAACCTTTTCAATGAACGCTTTTGATGATATTAGCGTCAT